TCAAAACGTCAATCTTCGTTTTGTAATTAAAAAAATGCCTGAGAATGCCTAGGTCATTTTACTCACCGCTATCTTTTTACCAAATATGTTGTGGGGAAAACCCTAAAAGAGCATATCAGAGCGTCTAGATTTAGAATTTTCAGGAGGGGGAAGTAGCCTTGATTATTTTAACAGAGAGGAGAAGTGTGACTTCACGTTACCATGGAAGCAAAATTTCTGGATCACAACAATAGAGAGCTAAAAGGGAACTTATTTCGGGGCGACGGCAACTTCAACCGGACGTGACGTCATGGTTTGTGCAATATTGCCGCGGCATGCTCTTGCTCACCACATTGCCGTCGTGCTCCCCTCGGCGACGTGAAACTGGTCTGTTTGGCGTTGCGGCGAGAACGTGAGTATTTAACTTTCATTTCAATCAGGTTTGTTGCGTTTAGCAACCAGAATTTGCAGATTATCGTTCTTAAATGGTCCTTGTTTTCTTTGAGTGACATTTCAAGCTCGATCTCCAAGCTCTGTTATCTAAACTTACATCTTTATAATGTTTCTATGTTTCATGTCACAGAGTCAAGATCCAGTCTGATTCAATATGGCAAACAGCAAACCGTAAGTGAGCTTTACATGGACAAAATTGTCCCAAGAGCCAAATGAAAGTGTCCAGACCAAAAGTATGAACTCCGATATTTTAATTGTGTGTTTTTAGCTCACTTTTTTCGTTAGAGTACCGTATAAATGAAACGTATGTATTGGAAATTGTTTAGAATAGAAGGTAATACCACGTACTAACGTGGGAATACTGAAATAAAGTTGTTGTTGTTGTTGCTGTTGTTGTTGTTGTTGTTGCATGCAAGCAAATAAGCATTAATTCCCTTAATTCTTTATGCGCAGCCATATTTTCCTCTTCGGTAGTCTTCCAAGGCGCCGTCCTCCTGAGTTCACTGCAATCTTAATGTTCGAATTTTGGAGGGAAGCGACAGATTTTTTAAGTAAAAAGAACTCGGATCCTTAAATCGATCGTGTTCTAGCTAGCCAATGGCAGTTTTCATATTCTGTGTTAGTTTGGATGATTCAGTGGATTATTCTCTCCGCTCCCTCATGGCTTACAGGCGGCGCGCCCAAGTTTAAGAGGTGAAGAGAGATTTATTTAAATTGAAACACTCGTAGCTTGAGTCGATCATGTTTTACTAGCTAGCCAATTGCAGTTTTTATACGCTGTGTTAGTTCGGATAATTCAGCAATTTTTTCTCTCCTCTCCCTCTTAGGTTACAGGCGGCGCGCCCAAGTTTAAGAGGTGAAGAGAGATTTTTTTCAAGGGTCAAAAACTCGTAGCCTGAATAGACCATGCTTTACTAGCTAGCCAATTGCAGTTTTCATACGCTGTGTTAGTTTGGTAATTCAGTAGGTTATTCTCTCCTCTCCCTCTTAGCTTACAGGCGGCGCGCCCAAGTTTAAGAGGTGAAGAGAGATTTTTTTCAAGGGTAAAAAAACTCGTAGCTTGAATCGATCATGTTTTACTATCTAGCCAATTGCAGTTTTCATACACTGTGTTAGTTTGGTTATTCTCTCCTCTCCCTCTTGGCTTCCAGGCGGCAAGCCCAAGTTTAAGAGGTGAAGAGAGATTTTTTTAAATTGAAACACTCGTAGCTTGAGTCGATCATATTTTACTAGCTAGTCAATTGCAGTTTTTCATACGCTGTGTTAGTTCGGATAATTCAGTAGGTTATTCTCTCCTCTCCCTCTAAGCTTACGGGCGGCGCGCCCAAGTTTAAGAGGTGAAGAGAGATTTTTTTCAAGGGTAAAAAACTATATTTTGGTGTTCCACTCTTTCTTTTAGCAGTGGAACACCAAAATAGCGCTAACTCGCCGAAAACGCTTCAAAACGGCCTGAGATGCGAGCAAACAACAAAGAATACAACAAAAGCAATGAGGTAAGTTGATTTTATTAAAAAAAATACATTTCTTCTCTCTTTTAAGAAAAGCCGTTTGCATCACATACAAACCTTTGTAAATAACCGTTTGTAACACAACACCGCTCGCAAGCAAGAGTCACGTCCGCGTTCATGAAATGAGCTTGGGCCGCCTGTGACGTGAATAGCAACTACTTTGAGTCCCCTTAAGATAAACTGGATTAAGTGTCGAAGATGAAAGATTGCTCAACAAGACGCTACGGAGCGTACACTTCGGCGTCGTGGTTGAGGAACTGATTAATTGTAAATGCGGAGGAATAGTAAGATATCAAATATGGTAAGAGTAAGGTGTTAATTTGTGAAATTATGGGATTTGTCAGGATATTCTGAAAAGAGCAACATCCAAGAGGCCTACTTGCCAAAAACTAGCATTTCGGGACAAATTGTCTCCGATATATTAGCCCAGTTATGTTCTGATGACTCCATACAAATCCTTCTAAAAAGACCATTCTCTATTTTTCTTAGTCACATCAGGCTTCAAAAACAGCATAGCAGTCTCACGTACTGATTAAAGATATGTAAGGCATGGGTAAGGAGTCAATTACGTTGGAATTAGCTAAAACTCAAAGTCACGAGTTCGAACATTTTGAGGATAATTATTCACTGACTATCAGCACGCAGGGATGTCGGATTAACACAAGGAAGTTTAACACCAAAAGAACATAGCCTTGACAGAGCTTTAAAACACAGCATCCGCCAACACAAACTTGACTTGAACTTTGAGTAAAACTAAACAGCCTCTACAAATAATAACAACCTCTCACTTGAACTTCAGATATCTTGCGGCTTCCTCGAACTTGTAAACACAGAACCTGAAAATCGACCTTCGTCACACTTGACTAAACACAGCAGTCCAGCTCGTGGGAAAAAACTTAGTTCGTCGAAAGAACTCGCTTGGAACTTGTATACCGTTTGACATAAGGTTCTAGAAAATACCAAACAGGCGAATAGTAGTAGCTTTTCGACATATTTTATGATTTCAGTAACTGATGCAAATCTGCTGACTCATGTAAACATGTAAACATGTAAACATGTAAACAATGTAAACAATGTAAACATGCCCTAATTAATTATTCATGAATAATCCAAAAACGTAGAGCACGTTCGAGAAAGTCACGCAACGCATGAAAGCAATCTTACTACGTAACACTCAACAAAGACAAAATGTCTTTGTGCAGCATTTTGTAACTTTAAATTCATCATAAAACAGTTCGAAAGGAGGGCTCACTCGTGAAATGTTTTTCAACACTCAAAGAGAAATTCCGTGTCTCTGCGCGGCCACGAAATATCCTCTATTTATTTCTCGAGTAATTAAAGACTAAACTCGAAGTGATCTCAAGATATCACGAAGTAGGCCGGTCTCATTTCGTAAAATAGTTGAAACAAGCCGAAAAGTCACGAACTTGCACGCCCAATCTTGTTCCGAAACTAGTGCATCATTTCATAACTATTTTTCACATCACACACTACCTTGGGTCGCAGTAGCGCAATCGGCTAATCCCTCAACTTAGAGTCTCTTCTGATCTGATGGGTCACACAAGTGAGTCGGTTCAAGCCTCGGGAAAGCCAAAATAATACTTCTTTCTTCCTCGAAAAAGTTAAAGAATAAATCAAAGAAATCGAAGTGATCTCGAGATATCTCGAACTAATTCGGCTCTCACTTCGTCAAATAGCCGAATAGAACCGAAAACCTACAGACTTTGCTTGCCCAATCTTGTCAAAAAATTGCAACTTTGATGCATTCCTGAGCGTCGCGAATCCTTTACTTCGCGCTCCGCCGAAGTAATAAAACGAACATTGTTGACAGCTTTAAGATAGGCTCCGGGTCTCTTGATGTAATATAACCCTTGGTTCAAAACAATAGACTTGGCGCCTAGTCTCCCTCGCAGCCGTTTTTAGTATAGGAGCGTTGCGTGACTATACTAGGGAGTTTAAGATACGGCGACTACGGACTACGGCTACGGATAAATATGCTACTGCGCATGATCAAAACCACGTGACTGTTCATTTTTCCCGCGTAGTCCTGCGGCTACGGTGAGTTGTTGAGCTGTTTCGCGTAGTCGGGACTACGGAGAACATTTTGCTCGTATTTTGCCGTCTCGGTAATTCAAGAATCTCGTCTTTCCGAAAAAAAGTTTTCAATTCACCTGCTTTAAGTGAGAGGAAAGCGAAATATGTAAGTTGTGTCAAATTTCTGCTCAGATTTACGCTTTTAATCCACTGTTGTGACTACATTTTTATCTAGCTAAGCTCATGTTTAAATAATAAGCTTAGCTGTTTATACGCAGAATTCAGATTGACGGCCTAGGAGAAGAGAAATCATGCAGGTAATTTACTTTCTCTTCGCACTTGAAAAGTTTCAAACGGATTAGTGAGTCTTTGTACCTGTGCAACCTTTATTTATGCGAGTTTTTGTATCGCGCCATTTGCTGAATGAAAATGATATAAACATGCTCGAGACAATCGAAACTCGGCATTTCAGTACTTCAAACTACATCAGGTCAGTAGTCGGAGAAGTCCATCCTCTAAATCTAATAAATGAGCTATTACTATTTCTGGCTATATCTTTAATATTTGACATAAGTATCCACAGGCGAAAAAGTAAAACCTGTGTAACCAAAACTTTGTTTACCAATTTCACCCGACGTAATTGCTTCCTTCAAGTATGGAAGAATCTGTTCATTGTTCTAAAGATAAGATCACATGCAAAACTGACTTCCATTTTTGTGAACTGTGATGAAAACAAGAAAATCTTTGCGTGCTGTTTCCCTCTCCGCCTCTTCTGTTGTAGTCTACTGTCTGTAGTGCAATCTTAACGTTCTATATTTGCACGACTCAACCCAGTACTACGAACAAAGGACAACGCTCGTCCAGCCGTAGTTCGTAGTCCGTAGTCTCCGTATCTTAAACTCCCTACTAAAAACGGCTGCGAGGGAGACTACTTGGCGCCTCGCCCTTCAGAAATATGCGAAGATCGCGACGTTGAGGGTCGCAATCCCCCGAAAATCGAGCCTGCGGCTTGTAATACGTTACCAAATGATTAACTCTGGAATTTCTTTTGCCGCTTTCTTGGCGATTTTTTTCGCTTTTAAGTGTGTTGTCGGCGTCAACAACACAAACGCCGGAACAAATCAGAGCAGTCAAAGTTACAAAGGCAAAGGAATCGTCGGCGAAGGAAACAAAAGTACTGTAAACTTGTGCCATGACAAAGAAATTAAAACTGCTCTAAGTCAGATACAAAAGAGTTTAGCTTCTTTGGAAGAAAAGATTTCCGCGATGCATCCGAATCGACGTGGTAAGTAATACTTACTGGCTATATTTTTATGTCGGTAAGCTATAAGGCGACAAAACAGTCAGGAGTCTAACATGAATGCCAGCGAGGTGACCCTTTAGTGTGTTACTGAGTGATTTGTTGTGGACCCGAGTAACTTCTTTACTTTTTGTTTGGAGTTTTGCACTGAACGGCCATCGGATGAGTTCTTTTTTTTTTTGCAGAGTCTGTTTCAGACATTTGTATAAAAATTTTTATAAAATGAAAGAGGCTCCTTAAAAAACTTACATTCTCCACAGAAACATAGTTCCCTGTGTATTATTGATATTGTTGCACTGAATCATCTTAACCAGCTAGTAAATGCTTATCCTGAATTTCAAACGATTTTACTTCCTCAGTAAATTGTCTTCAGTTTTGACTGCGCTGAACTTTTAAAAACTGTCTTCGATAGACTATAGAGTTTAGTCGGTAGGTTTTAACAATTTGTAGTTGCATAGTTTTTTAAGGGCTTTAAAAAGCCCTTACATTCATGTTTGTAAGTTATAAAGTGAGACCAAAATCACTGAAATGGTGGTTGGCGTTGCTTTAAAGTTTAACTTAACAACGGAATATGGGGGTCCGTTTAATAGAAGAGTCACGTTTGAAGTTCTATATTGATACTATATGCTTGGTTTTGTCGGAGTATGACTTGAATTACAGTAGACAGTATTGTTCACACTTTGAACGGTTTCATTTTTGTTGAGCTTAGCTTATAGCCTCAGTCAGCTGGTTAAATATTGTAGGGTTGAAGCATGTTACAAATATCACTCAAATTTTTTTTCTGTCTTCTAAAGCATGCATGTTCGACTTCGAAACGGGCTTGAGTGGTTGGAAAATGAATGGAACAGCATTTAACAATCAACCTACCTACGGTGACAATCCAACAGCTCGCAATAGAGGACAACCTGCCAATCAGCAGGGGGACTGGTGGATCGGAGGGTACGAAAACAGGCCATCCAAGGCAGCAAAACCTGGAGCAATTCAGGGAGATGGTCCCCAAGGAACTCTTGCTTCCCCGTTCTTTAAGATCGTTGGCAAACGGATCTCATTCTTGATTGGAGGAGGCTGTGACATTAAGAAAGTTCGTGCTGAGTTGATTGTTGATCACCAAGTAAGACAGCCTGACAGAATTGCTTTCAGTTTTTAGTTTGTTGTGGCATATTTATTACTTCAGCTTCAAACTCGGCTGGGTAATATGGTAATAGGTGCAGCACCTAGCGATTAACATTATATATTTTTTTATGCTCTACGAATGCCTAACTGTGTTTTGCTGAAATTTTTGTGATATAAGACAAAATATTTCCGAGGTTAATGAATATTGAATGTTCAGTGTCTTTCACATGTTGCAAAAGAGTCCCTTAGCTTGTCATCAGTCAGTTTGAGGGGTCTCTTGCAAGAAGCTGAATTGCATCTGCCTCTCTTTTTCAGGTTGTCAAAAGTTCTACTGGTTCATGTACTGAAACCATGTCTCGCAAATTCTGGGACGTTCATGCCTTTGTTGGTCGAAAAGCACGTGTCAAATTGGTGGACTACAGCAGTGGCGGATGGGGTCACATCAATTTTGATGACCTCGGAGGCGATATCAGCTGCGGGCAAAAATAATCTCGTCTCACTGCTTCGGTTTTACCGGATCCCAGTATCGTTCTTAAGGGAGTAGACACGAAAAATAAGATAAAATAAGAGGGAATAGTTAATCAAAGTAATCGATTAGATTTAAGATGATGAATACGTAACTGAACATCCAGGGATACTGAGTTATATGTTTTTCTGTTACTTACAGTTTAACTGTAAACACGTATCTGGAAATAAAGATTTTAATTGTACTTCAATTGTATGGAGTCTTGAACTTATGATGACCTCAGAATAGAATATTATGCTTAAATATCGATCACAATCACTTTTCACTTATCCCTTGCATGCATGCACGCATGTATTCCATATTCTTTAATAATATTTCCTGATGACTTTTGACCATTTTTCTCACAGTTCTGAATATATTAAACTTTTACAATAATTAAGAATTTGTTCATGCTTAGCGTGCGTATATCGAGTTATGGATGCACGCGGGAAGTTTGGAGAGCACGAAAGATGCGTAAGAGTTGCACGAGGCGATAGCCGAGTGCAACTCTAGCTTCTTGAGTGATCTCCAAACTTCCCAAGTGCATCCATAACTCGATATACGCACAGCTAAAAGCATGAGCAAATTCTTTTATAACATAGCTGACAATAATGCTTGCTTTTTGATTAACTGCAAAATCTCGTAACGCGCGACACAATAACAAACGGTTCTATTGGCTGATTATGAACACGCCACAATCGTCTAGTTTGAATGAAAATATTCTTTCTGTAAACGTGAGAAAGAAAATTTGCTTCTTTATTCGTTAACGATCAATGGAAACTAAGCCGAAACAAAGGTAAAAGAGTCTTAAAGTTCACCTAAAGTTAAAATCCTCCGTGACATGTTCGTGAGAAGTCGTGGAGTATAGTTTGGATTTGCTGAAAAGATGTTTACGTTTTGCTCAACGAAATCCAGAAAAGATGTTTTTAGCGAAGACGACTGTCATCCTTCTTAAAACTTATATTCATTTACAAACATTGGCTGGTCATTACGGCTTCTTGAGAAGACCTGGCAGCAGCTGTTTTTGTGAGTAATAAATTTATGTCTCCCTGTGTAATTTGTGTTGTTATTGCGAGGGAAATTTTCCTGCTTCAGTCGTATTGTCCGGAGATAACAAAGTGCATAACAAATTTAAAAACAACAATTAAAACCGAAATTTTGCCTTTAAATGTTGTCGATGACCAGTTGGTGTCTGTTCTGTTCCCAGTGAATGTCTTTCGGCCAAAATTTGCTGCAGCTGGTCTTCGACAAATTTGCAAAACGCGCAACTTGCGAGTTTTTTTTAATTCGGCTATATTTTTGCTGCTTGTTGGATCAGGACCTAAAAGGTCAATGCCGATAGAAAAATTGTCAGTTCTTCGCTCGTTTCTTCCATATTTCAAAGAGAAGGAAAAGTGCACTGCAGCTTAAAAGACGACAACTTTGCAGCCAGGTAAAAAAAATGCTTACGTCATGTTATTTACGCACGGGCGTGCGTAAATAAAGATTTTGTTCATAGCGGCTCAATAGGACTTATATAGGGCAAGCACGCGCGCTATGTTATAATTTATCATAATCCTTCAAAAGCATTATTTCCGAATTTATTGGCTGTAATTTTAACTAAAAACTATATTTTACGGAAATGTGTTCATAGGAGAAGAGACTTGACTGTCTAATAATTTATTAATTATATTAAGGCGGCTAAACCCGGCAAGAGACTTCCTCGGGAGAGTTTCTTATTATGCTTACAGAAGCTCGGTAGTAAATAGGATGACCCTTTCTTGTACCAAGAAATCTTTCTCTCATTTACCCAAAGGAAGGAGGGAAGGAGAAAAGAGACGAGACATCGCGTCGCCTCCTTTTTCCTTCCCATGGTCCTTTGTGTTTCGTCACCAGTCCCTCGCAATTCGCGCCTGAGGATGAGACAGATGACCCATATGTAACAGTAACAGTTCTTATGGATATCATAGGGAAACCAAGATACACAAGCTATATCTGACTGAGTTTTAATCCAATGACAAGGACCAAGTCAAATTTGAGCAGCTAATTTAGCAAAACGTTTCTTTAAATTCCC